GAGGGCGGGCGGCGGCCGGGAGGGCGGGCGCTGCACCTCGGGCGGCGGGAACCTCCCTCGCTCCCCGGACCAGGCTCGGATCAGAGCTCCGGGACGCAGGCAGCGGGCGGCGAGCTTCCCGAGCTTCCCAGCCAGAGCCTTCGTTCTGATTGCTCCCATGACTGGCGTTCGGACTGCGGGCACCAGCTCCTGCGATCCCCGTGTGGGTCCCTGGCTTCCCCTGCTGAATGCAGCAGCCAGACGCTCCCTCGGCTTCCCCGCTCTCAGGCGGAAGGCTGGAGGGATGACTCTTTAAACCCAGGCGGCCGACTCACTTTGAGCTCTCCAAGCCCATGAGTCGCAGCCCTCCGAAACTCAGATTGTGGCTGCCCAAACTTCCGGGGTCTCACTCTGGAGCCTGGAAGAAGAGATCCCCGGGTGGATCTCTTCTTGAGCTGGCTGATGGGTGTCTCAGATCAGATCGAAGGCTCTGGCGTGGGTTCGCTGTGATCCCAGCTAGGGAGGGAGGCAGGCCCGCCCTCTGGCTTCCCTGTTGCTGGATTGTAAACAACAAGAGCAGCGAGTGTCCAAAGGGAGGAGCCGGGAGCTTGGACCTCCCTGTACCGCAAATTGTGCCTGCCCCGTATTTATGCTGACAGCTTTGGGCTGGGGCTGGGGCTCAGTGGCAGAGCTCTTGCCTAGCATGTTCAAGGCCCTGCGTCTGATCCCCAGCACCACACACAAGAAAAAGTAGCTTCACAGCTTGGCCAGGCGCGGGGCCAGGACCTAGAAAGAGAAGCAGAGTTCTCCCTGTGGAGGGAGTTGGGATGTGTCAGATGTAGTCTGGGGCTAGAGTGGCTGGCTGGGACTCCAGCTGTTGCTGAAATCTTGAGTGTTCCTCTTAGGCTCAAAGGAAGTAAGTGATTGGCATAGCTTCTGCTTCCTGAAGAATTCATGAAGGTCTTATCAAATTCTCAGAGCAGCTGTGGGAGCTCAGCCTTAGCATAGACTTTTGTTTTTGTTTGTTGGAAAGTGGCTAGCTACAGGATTTCACTGTGTAGTTCAGGTTGACCGTGAGCTTGCTAGGCAGGCCAGGCTGGTCTTGAACTCATGATCCTTCTGCCTCAGCCTCCTGAGTGCTGAGATTACAGGCATGTATCACCACCTGGTGGGATAGATGTTTTACATTTTCATTTTTTTACATGAGGGGTTTCGGGAGGTATCCTGGGTCTGGAATTTGGCCTTGCAAGTTGTGTGATTTCCAGGACTTGGTGCCCTTAAGGAGGATGAAGTAAGTTGGTCCACACATGTGTCTCAGTCTTCTTTGGTCGGGGATTGGATCAGAATCCTGGGGGTGCGAAGCAAGCACTGTACCGTTGAGTCACATCCCCAGCCCTCAGTTTTATTTTTGAGAGAAGGTCTCGCTAAGTTGTCCAGGCTAGCCTCAAGCTTGCAATCCTCCTGCCTCAGCTTCCCAGGTAATTGGGACATCAGGCGTGTGCCACAGCTCCTGCTGGTTTTATTATTGTTCTTGTCAAGCACCCTTCTCCAGGTATGGTTTGTGAGCCTGTCTGCTGGGTGGGGATGGGTGGTCGTGAACTCAAGGTCATCCTTCGGATATTACTTGTCCAGAGAAGATGAATATGGGCTCTGCTATGTGCCAGTGCGTGGAGGCTGGAACTGAAATTTTCTGGGGGGCCTTGAATGTTCCTTCTCTCCCCACAGACCTGCAGCAGGGACACTGAAGGAACCTCCTGATAGTCACCAAGTACCAGCCTCTGTGATTAACCCTTTCTAAGTATCAGGCCCTCCGCTCCCCTAGGAGAGATGATTATCATTCCACTTTGCAGATAGGGAAACTGAGGCTCAGGGAGGCTGAATATCTTGTCTGAGTTGCTGAGGAGCTGCATTGGTATCATCTCAAACCCCCACTCAAGACTTTTTTTTTTTTTTTTTGTCTTTTTGAGACAGGGTCTTGCCATGCAGCTCAGGCTGGCCTCAAATTCACAACAGTTCTCCTGCCTCAGCCTCCCCAGTGCTGAGACTACAGCCGTGAGCCACCACGCCCAGCTAAGACTTCTGAGAAGCGCGCCTAGAGCCATAAAATGTTGCTGATTTTCTTTTTTTCCTCAGCTCTCTCAAAGCGCTTCCTTGCCTGGAGCACAGGGCTGAGGGACCTGTTGGGGAAGCAGGCGATGGAAACTGCCCAGGCCTGGTCCTCACTGCTTCTTCCATTCCCACAGAGACGGAGCGGCTCCTGACCCCCAGCCTCGGGTATGGGACCCAGGCTGGGGCTCCACCGGCCCCTCCGACGCCCCTGGAAGAGGAAGACCTCCGCCGCCGGCTCAAGTACTTTTTCATGAGTCCCTGTGACAAGTTCCGGGCCAAGGGCCGCAAGCCATGCAAGTTAATGCTGCAGGTGGTCAAGATCCTGGTGGTCACTGTGCAGGTGGGACTTGCCCAGCAGGTGGCCCAGCTGGGTGCTCTCTGGAAGGAGAGGCTTGGGCACGGGAGCCTCGTCCTGACCCCTTATCGCGACACAAGAAGGGCCAGCCCCAGGGCCAGTGAGAAAGCCACCTGAGAGTGCGTGTGTAGCAGCTCCTTTTGGGTTCGCAGAGGCCCCCTGAAGTCCTGTGTCTCAGTTACTTTTCTCTTGTTTCCGGGGCAAAATACCTGACTCCCAAAATGAAGGAAGGAAAGATTCATTTAGCTTTTAGTTTGTGGAGGTTTCAGTCCATACTTGGCTGGTTCCAAGGCAGGGTGGCACATGGCAGAGGGCAAGCATTCACGCGGTGGAACACGGCATAAACAAGAGCCAAAGGGAGTGGCGGCAAGCAGCCTCTTTCCCTCCCTTACATTGTATGCAAACTATCCACCCCAGGGCGGGTGTGGCACTCACACCCATAATCCCAGCATGGGATCTTGGACAGACCAGGTTTTTTTGTTTGTTTTGTTGTTTTTTTCCGGTACGGGAATTGAACTCACGACCTTGAGCTTGCCGGGCAGGCGCTATGCCGCTGAGCTAAATCCCCAGCTCCCTGGGATCGTGGATCAATCACAAATCCTAGAAGCCACCCCATGACTGCGTGAAGATTTGGGGAGACATGTAGACACAAACCGTAACATTCTGGCAGTGCTTTTGCCCCCCTGGGGGCTGCTGAAACGTTAAGGGATTTGTCCAGAGTCACACAGCAGCCAGGCACAGGGAGGTGGGGTTTGAACCTGTGCAGTCTGACATCACATAGATTCTCAAAGAGAACTGACCTAGGGGCTCAGCTGGATGCTCTGCCCTCCGCCATGCCAGGCCCAGGACTGGGCTCTGGGCTCTGGGTTCCCTGGGGTGAGTCAGTCAGTCTCTGTGCTGTGTTCTTAATTCTGGACCAATGCTGGGACTTTGGGCCTCTGTCCCTCTAATTTCCCCTCGGTCAGAGGCCCGGGAATGGCTCTTACCCTGGAGGTTTGGGTTTGGCACAGACCCTGCATCCAGGAAGCCGTAAGGCACGTTCACGTGACTGTGAGGTGTCAGTCCCCTCTTGGAGCCGGGCACAGAGCTTATGCTGGGAGCACACGTCAGACAGGAAAGCACAGGTCCCTGCCCTGCCCAGGGGACCCCTCTGGGCCTCCCTCCTCGTCCTGCACCCGAGTCCTGCCCGGCAGAGCCAACCCCCTCGGCCCTCTCTGCAGCTCATCCTGTTCGGGCTCAGCAACCAGCTGGCAGTCACCTTCCGGGAAGAGAACACAGTTGCCTTCCGCCACCTCTTCCTGCTGGGCTACTCGGACGGGGCGGATGACACCTTGGCAGCCTACACGCGGGAGCAGCTCTATCAGGCCGTCTTCTACGCCGTGGACCAGGTGAGGGTGGGCAGGTGGAGGGGTACCTGCAGCAGGCGGCAGGCGGGACTCATAGCCCTCTTCTTTCCCTCCCACAGTACCTGTTGCTGCCGGAGGTGTCGCTGGGCCGCTATGCCTATGTCCGGGGTGGGGGGGGCCCGTGGGCCAATGGCTCGGCCCTGGCCCTCTGCCAGCGGTACTACCACCGCGGCCACGTAGACCCGGCCAACGACACCTTTGACATTGACCCCACAGTTGTCACTGGTAAGTGGACAGGGCCGGCCTCAGCTGTGGGAACCTGAGCTGCTACAGCTGAAATCCTGGCCCAGAGGCTGGGAATGGGCTCAGACAGAGCAGGTGCTTAGCATGTGTGAGGCCCTAGGTTCCAGCCTCGTGACCAAAGGGAAAAAAAGTATAAAATTCGGGTCCTGTGTGAGATGGGGTTGTCCTGGTCACGAGTAAGTTGACATATGCAGTGTGCTCCATGGTGTGCATGACACGCAGAGCCACGCACTGTTGTTGTTATTATTATTTTTTGAGATAGAATCTTGCTGTATAGCTGTGTGGCCTCAAACTTGTGATGATCCTCCTGCCTCAGCCTCCTAGGTGCTGAGATGACAGGTGTGCGCCACCACATCTGGCCAGGTCTTATTTTATAATATCATTTATTTATTAAAATTTTGGGGGACCCAGGGAGTGCCAACCCCTGCCCTGGGGGGCAGCAAATGTTTTAGCACTCAGGGGAAGAAGGCCTTTGGGGGCTTGGGGTGAGACCAGCATGGGCCTCCCCCACTCCCTGAGGCCCTTCCCTGACTGCTGTCCTCAGACTGTATCCAGGTGGATCCCCCCGAGAGACCCCTCGTGCCCCCCAATGATGCCCTCACCCTCTTGGAGGACAACAGTTCCAGTTACAAGAACCTCACGCTCAAATTCCACAAGTACTGCCTGCTCGCTGAAGGGGCTGCGGGGCTCAGGGCTGCGGGCGGGGGCTGGAGCTGGGAGCACCAGGCATCTCTGACCCAAACAGCCACTTCCCTCCTGGTGGGCAGGATGCGGAGCCTAGGACCCTGCCACACTGCTGCCTGCCGCTGAGAGCACTTCCTCCAGCTAGGGCAGGCAGGGGGTGCTGGCGCTTGGGCTGGGAGGCCCAGCAGGGCCCCTGCCCCTCACCCCAGCCTCCCCCCTAGGCTGATCAACGTCACCATCCACTTCCAGCTGAAGACCATCAACCTGCAGAGCCTCATCAACAACGAGATCCCTGACTGCTACACCTTCACCGTCCTGGTGAGGACCCTGCCTCCTCTTGGGGTGTCTGGGGAGCTCAGGTCGAAGGCCCCATGGGGTGGCAGCCGGACAGACCGTCTGTCATGCAGGTCTAGGGAGAGGGGTGGAGGGTGGAGGTGCCAGGGTTCACTCTGCCCCCTCCTGCATCTCCTCACCGCTGCAGATCACCTTTGACAACACGGCGCACAGCGGGAGGATCCCCATCCGCCTGGACACATGGGCCCACATCCAGGAGTGCAAGCACCCCAGTGTCTCCAGACACGGTGAGCCCCGAGCCCGGACCGGCCAGTCCAGGTCAAGCCACCACCGACCCTGGACCCCCAGATCAGCACTGACCAGGGGTCCTGACTCCCTCACTCCCTGCCCAAGTCACAGCCGAGCCCACGGACAGGTCAGAACCAGCCATGCAAGCCAGGTGGTGGTGCACCCATGTAATCCCAGCACTCGAGAGGCTGAGGCAGGAGGTTTGCTGTTGAGTTCAAGGCCTGCTCGCACTACATAGTGAGATCCTGTTTTAAAAAACCCTAAACAAAATTGAAAAGCCTGCCACGCAGCCCCTAGGTCCCCGTTCCCAGCCTTCCCTGGCTGCAGCCCCCTTGGTCCTACCCACTTCCGCTCCCCGCAGAAGATAACAGTTTCCGGCTGCTGTTCGACGTGGTGGTCATCCTCACCTGCTCCCTGTCCTTCCTGCTGTGCGCCCGCTCGCTGCTCCGCGGCTTCCTGCTCCAGAAGGTGAGGCCCGCAAGGCCGGAGGTTGGAGGGTCCTGAGCCTGGCAGGAGACCGTTACCCCGTCTCCTTGTGCAGGAGTTCGTGGGGTTCATGTGGCGGCAGCGGGGACGAGTGATCAGCCTGTGGGAGCGGCTGGAGTTCGTTAACGGCTGGTACATCCTGCTGGTCACCAGCGACGTGCTCACTGTCTCGGGCACCATCATGAAGATTGGCATCGAGGCTAAGGTCGGGCCCTGTGCCGCGAACCTTGTCCCCAGGTCCTGGCCGCGCTGCCGGGCCTAGCTGAGACCATAATCCTCCCAAGGATGCTGGGGACAAGTAGGGTGACGTCTCTCCCGCCCCCAGAACCTGGCCAGCTACGACGTGTGCAGCATCCTCCTGGGCACCTCCACGCTGCTGGTCTGGGTGGGCGTCATCCGCTACCTGACCTTCTTCCACAAGTACAACGTGAGCCATGCTCCCCTCCCGGGCCCCAGACAAACCTGCGCGAGAGCCGGTCCTAGCGATGGCTGGTCGCGAGCTTCTTCCTGCACCTGTGCACCCCACACTCACCTGGCCCTGCACTAGACAGGGCCATGGGTGCCTCCCCTCCGTCTGCCCCCAGCTGCGGGGTGCCCTCGGGTGTTCAGGGCCCCCCAGGACGTTCGTGCCCCTTCCAAACTCTCCAGCCGCTGTGGCCACAGCCGTGGGTCCCCCCACCTCTTCCCCATCCCAGCGCTGGGCCGGGTCCCCGCCACACCTTCAGCGGGGCCGCTCTACCCCCCAGATCCTCATCGCCACGCTGCGGGTGGCGCTGCCCAGTGTCATGCGCTTCTGCTGCTGTGTGGCCGTCATCTACCTGGGCTACTGCTTCTGCGGCTGGATCGTGTTGGGGCCCTACCACGTGAAGGTACGGGGCCCGGGGCTCGTGCGGCACGGTTGCGGGGTCCTGGCTGCCCGCCCTTGAGTGGGTCCCAGAGCCCTGTGAGCCCTGGTCTCTCTGCGGGGGCCCTGATGACGGCCTCTGACCCTGCACCTCCAGCAGCTTTGCTGTCTGCCCCGGTGGCCCCCAGTGGTCCTGACGTTGACCCTGTGACCCTCTCATGGACGTAATGTCCCGCAGTTCCGCTCGCTGTCCATGGTGTCCGAGTGTCTCTTCTCGCTCATCAACGGGGACGACATGTTCGTGACGTTCGCGGCCATGCAGGCGCAGCAGGGCCGCAGCAGCCTGGTGTGGCTCTTCTCCCAGCTCTACCTCTACTCCTTCATCAGCCTCTTCATCTACATGGTGCTGAGCCTCTTCATCGCGCTCATCACCGGCGCCTACGACACCATCAAGGTCAGCCCGGTGGCCCGCTCCTGGGTCTGACATGCGCTGCCCGAGCCTCAGGGGCTGTCCCCGTGGAGGGGTCCTGGGGGATATGTGGGAGACACTGCGAAGTCCAAGGGAAGGGTGGCTCGGAATTGAGGTTCGCGGGTGGGGCAGATACCATCCCAGGTTTGTCAGGGTGGAGAGGGTCCCCGAGTGCGCTTCACCCACAGGAAACTGAGTCAGAGCAGGAGGTGCCCAAGGTCGGCCACTGAGCATGCGGCCAGGGCTGTGGGGTGCCACCCCTGGTGGGGTGGCCAGGAACAGTGGATTTCCAGCAGGCTGAGGGCCAGAGAGAAAGCGGGGCGTGGGGAGCGGCAGGGGACAGAGTTCTTCTAGCAAATGGACCAGGGTGTTTGGCGGGCCAAGCTCTGTGCCGGGCTCTGGGCACCAAGGAAAATAAGGCAAGATGGATGACACAGGAACGTGGCCAGTGACTGGCCATACAGCCAGTGGCCAGTGACTGGCCAGAGACAGGGAGAAAGGCGTGTCAGAGATTCCCGTCTTCGTCTCTTTCCTTGTCCTGGGACAGAATACTCGACAACTGCAGCTGAGAGGGTGGTTTATTCTGGTTCATGTTTTAGAGCTTCCAGTCCTTGTGTGATCAGTAGGTTCTAGGCAGAGTGGCGCGGTGGAAAGTCCTGGGCAGAAGAAGGCGGCTGGCATCACGGCAGTCAGGAAGCAGAACGAAGGGAGGAGATAGACCCTCCCGGGACACGCCCCCTGTGACCCACCTTTGCTGACCGGGCCCCACCTCCTAGCATCACACATAGCTGTAGCACCCCCATGACTCAGTCACCCTTCAGAAGCCCCAGTTTGAGTGCCTGAGGCTTTGGGGGATATCTAGCTGTAACCATACCTGCTGTTCTAGGATGAATCTAGGAAAACTTCTAGAATATTCTGAACATGAGGCATCTCCAGCCACATGGGACTCCTTACATTGGATGCTCTCAACCATCCACATTATCAGGTCCCGGAAAGCAGCTGCCAGGTTAGCCTAGGTCAGTGACGACGAACCTTTTAGAGCGTTCAGTGATAATAAACAGCCTGCTGTGGCACCCATGCCGTAGCATAGGTTGGCCACCACTGGCTTAGATAATGGAGCACTCCCAACATGTGCGAGAGTTCTACCCTGAAGAGATGGGAGCCTGAGGGACGGCACTTGTGAGAAAGGAAACCAAAACGCGAAACCCTGGTAGCCAGGAAGGACTCAGAGAAAAGGTGGCAGGCCCAGGGGGTTCACAGCAGGAAGGTTTTGCTGGGGCGCTGCTACACCCTGACACTGGCAGATGCGTGTACCCCTCCCCCACGCATGGACGGGGCCATCCATAGATGCATTACCGTCCCTCAGGCCTGGAAGCCACCTGGTCTTAACCTAGCAATCAGACATCAGCCCTGCACCCAGCCACTCCATGGATGGTCACTGAGCACCTGTTTTGTGGGAGGCTCTGCTGCAGAAGGCACCAAACTGACAAAAGATGAGGCATGTGGCTACATTCAGGAGTCAGGGAAGGGCTCCCTGTGTAAGCAAACCGCAGAGTGAGAGGCAGGCGCACCAAGTGCAAAGGCCCTGAGGTCCGAGTCTCCCTGGTGGTGGGAGGAACCCCGAGATCTGAATGGCAGGACCGACCTGAACGGGCCTTCCTTGGGGGCCCTCTGGTGTCGCTCCCCAGCACCCCGACGGTGCAGGCGCAGAGAAGAGCGAGCTCCAGGCTTACATCGCGCAGTGCCAGGACAGCCCCACCTCCGGCAAGTTCCGCCGCGGGAGCGGCTCTGCCTGCAGCTTGCTGTGCTGCTGCGGAAGGTTCGGATCTGCCTCCGGATAAGAATAGGGTGCTGGGGGGAAGGGGAGCATGCTAGAGAGAACCGACCACCCTGCCTCTCCCCGTCAGGGAGACCTCGGAGGACCACACGTTGCTGGTGAATTGATTGGACCGCCGCTGCCACTCACCCTGCAGACTGCAGGGATCCTGAATCCTACCGCCGCCCCTGCCGCTTATTTATTTTTAGACTTTGCTTTTAAAGATCGGCTGCCTGCCACGGCCAGTCGGGTCGGACACTGGGGAGGGTAGGGGGAGAATAGGGTGGGTGTTAAATAAACCAGAAAAGAAACTTGTTTTCCTTTCTAGTGGGAAGGGCCCTTCTTGCGCCAGTGGGTCCTTGGCCCCTTTAAGGCGCTGCCACACTCGGCATGGCTGGCTGAGGGCGACCTTCCAAGCATGGCAGGGGGTGGGGCTGGGGCGCACCCTGCGGCGAATAATTTAAAGGGGCCGCGCCTGGGGCGCCGGGCGGAAAGCTAGCGGTGTTGGCGTAGAGTGGACCCTGGCTGCGGCTCCCAGGTGAGTCTGGGTTTCCATTGGCCCAGCAGGGGCATCTTTTCTACTTTGGATAGAGAACTTGTGCTTTCCCAGGATCTGGCCTCTGATTCCTGGTAGCTCCAGACTTTCTGATGCTCCCATCCCCCCAGTTTCCTTGCTGAGGTTTCCGCACCGGCAGCCCGGTGCGTCCTGGGGTGAAAGGGAACTATTCAGAACTTTCCGAATTGCGTCTTAGGGCCCAGCGAGTCCCCCCTTACTATTCTAGTGGTGCCAGCAACAGCTTCAAGGTCCCAGGAAGGTCCCAGGGATATTGCAGCGGCCTCAATACCTGTCCTGTCCCTCCCGTGCCCACCCAGCTCTCGGTTTCCGCTTTAGTAACCCGGCATTCAGGGTCTCTTAGTAACTTTCCAGTTGCGCTCTCAGTAATTCCAGCGCCACTGGGCACACACCCAGGCTTGGCGCCAGCATCTCTCCCGGGCCCCCCCGGGGATGCTCGGCACCGCCAAAGATGCCATGACTTTACCGTTCGGGGGCAGTCTGCCCCCGGCTGAAACCGCTACCTTGCTGGTCCACCCCACTCAGAGCTTCCCAGGACTCGGTAGTGCCGAGACCTCGGTATCTCTCCAGGGTCCCTTCCCTGGGTGCCCCCAACTTCCGGGTCCTCCGGGCAGGCTCAGTCAGGAGCTACGCGTCCAGCTGTGGCCTTAACCCCGTGGCCGGCCCCCCGATTTCCCCGGGTGGGGCATCCAGTCTGCAGCGGGTAGGGAATCGATCGGTCCTGCAGAAAGCAGAAGCCAGGGAGGGGACTGCCTGCTGTGGGGTGGGCATGCCTGCGGGGATCGGCACGATGGCTGCAGGCTGTGGGTGCCTGGACCGCTACCCTTCAGCCCAGGGGAGGGGTAGGACGGGCTGGGCGTCTGGGCGACACTGTATGTAGGTGAAGGGTGCCAGACAACGATCAGGGGACCCGCCTCATCCCCTGGCCCAGACCGGAAGGTCAGTTTGCTCCATGCCTCTGTCTCAATCGCAGTTCCCCTGTATACAGCTGTGCCCATCCCACCCCACGCAGTAGGAAGCCGCCCGCGCGGAAGGTACCCAGGGGGCGGGGCTTGTTGTAGAGTGTGGGGCTTGATTGAAGGGCGGGGCCAGTGGCAGGGACGGGTCGGGCCCAGACTGACAACTTGCACGGGTTCCTTGATTCCCCAGGACTGTGGGCCACTAGACCTGTCGCCCAGCTTGAAGCAACCGATGGAGGCCCCGCTGCAAACTGGGATGGTAAGGGGCGGGATTGTGTGAAGGACTACAACTCCCGGTGCCCATCGCTCACCATCGGAATCTCGCGAGAATGGGGCTTTCTCTGTTCCGGTCAAACTACATTTCCCGGCGCGCAGCGCGGGCCTCCGAGTCGCCGGGAAGAGCGGCTCCCCCCAGGGAGAGTGGAGCTGTCCCATTCTGCAGATGGGGACACCGAGTCAGGGGATGAATGCGACCTCCAGGGGGGCGGAAGTGGCCCCCGAGGAGGGCTCGGCGGGGCGGATATGCGGTTCACAACCAGTGCCGTTCGTCCCGCAGGTGCTGGGCGTGATGATCGGGGCCGGAGTGGCGGTTGTGGTGACCGCCGTGCTCATCCTGCTGCTGGTGCGGAGGCTGCGAGTGCCGAGTGAGGACGCGGGGGCCCGCGGGGGAGATCGGGGGCGGGGGCTGAGATGCCAGGTTCCCCGCAGCTCTGGAGGTGGGGATCTGTGGAGTCTGCGCAGAGTTCAGAGCACCCCTGTCCCCATCTCTCCCCAGAAACCCCAGCCCCGGATGGCCCCCGGTATCGGTTCCGGAAGAGGGACAAAGTGCTTTTCTATGGCCGGAAGATCATGCGGAAGGTGAGTCTCGGGACTCCCTGCGGAACACACAGATCCCGCCCCTCCATGTGTACACTCCTTAGTGGACAGCTCCGCGCTTGATGCAGGACCCTGGCCCTGGCTCTCCTCTCTCCCCGAGTGACCCGTCCTTTCCTCCATTCTCCCAGGTGTCACAGTCCACTTCCTCCCTGGTGGACGCCTCCGTCAGCACCACTTCCCGGCCACGCATGAAGAAGAAACTTAAGATGCTGAACATTGCCAAGAAGTAAGGCTGTCCTGAGTGTACCTAGCTCTGGGGGACGTTTCAGGGGCCTTTTAAGTCAACCACCCTCACCGAAGTGTGTATCTCAGGGTTCTCTGAACCCCACGAACTGTCTCAGGATTCTTCATCCCACAGCAGAGGGGCCTGTCCGGGTTGTCATCTGAAGGACATCTCAGCGCTCTCTTATACCAGAGAGCCCATTTCTGGGGTCTTGACCCTTGAGGCCTGTCTCATGCTGTTCCCCTACCACAGGGCTATTCTGAAGATTATTTACCATGTATTAAGGGGTCTGCATCGGGAATCGCCCCACATTAGAGGATTTATTCCAAGGCACCTCCCTGGGGGTCATCTCCAGTGTTTCTATCGCCGTTAGAAGAGCCAGCTTGCGCCTGCATCCCTGCAGGCATTACAGAGACCTCAGCAGTCTTTGGACAGCACAGGCACTTTAAAAACTAAAAGCATAAGAGCGACATCTTAGGGGTCCCTGTCAACAGCAAAGGGCTAACTGAAGGTCTCTCGGTGGGCTGTTCCAGGGATCTGTGTGAGCTGGGAGCTGGGTCTCATTGTGAGGTTTATTCACACCGAAAGGGCATTTTAGGACTTTCTGTGACCAGCCATGATATCCCGGGTGTTTGTGTTGATCTAATAGGGGTGTTGTCTCTCAGTTTCCCACGAGCCGAGGAAAGTGTGTGTCTCGGGTTACTCTGCATCACAGGGTTTGTGACGGAATCAGCACACCCTTGAGGGGCTACCCGAGGTCTTCGTGAAGGCTCTCTCAGAACTAGCTCTGTGACCTTGGGGAAGGCTGGCCCGAGAGTGCCCTGATCAGAATCATATCTGGATTTCTCTGTGTCTCTGAGTTTAATTAAGGATCTGCTCATGCCAGAGTCTATCTGGGGGATTTTGTGCTAGTGGACGGCCTTTCTCAGCAATCACTGTGATTTGTGGGGAAGGACTGTCCCAGGTGATTCGCAGAGGTGCTGGGTCTGGATTCTCTACGTGTAACGGGGTGATCCTAGGGATGCTTGTGGCTGTCAGAGGGGCTGCCTCAGTGTTCACCAAGACTGAGAGGAAGGGCTACCTCACGGATTTTTTTCTGCCCTCTTCTTGGTTTTGTTTTCTTTTTATTTTCTTACATCTCAAGTATCTTTACAAAAAGTAGAGTGGCTATATGTAGGGTCTTCTTGTAACAGAAGAAGCCTCAGAGCATGGCCATGTTAGAGAAGCTATCTTTTGTGACTACTGGAAAGAGTGCCTCAGGACTCTGTTTTTTTGTTTGTTGTTTGTTCTCTTGAGACAGGGTCTCACTATGTAGCCCAGGCTGGCCTCCACTTTGCTGTGATCTTCTTGTCTCAGCCTCCTGAGTGCTGGCCTGTTCCAGGACTCTGGTGACAAACAAAAGTGCTCTTCCAGGGTCTTGCCCATATCTTGGAAGCCACGACAGGGTCTGCTGTTAAAACTAGAGGGGCCAAAAAAAAAAAAAAAACCCCAAAAACTAGAAGGTCCATCACAGGGACTTATTGCTAGCGGAGGAATGATCTGAGGACAGTGATTCAGGGGCCTTTTTTTTTCTTCTAGAGAGCCTGATAGTAAACATTTTAGGCTTTGCAGGATCTATGTTGCCTCTCTCTCACCACTTGACTTTGCTGTTGTGTTACAAAAGCCACGGTGGAGGCTGTGTGAATGAATGCATATGGTAGCGTGCCAATAAGACTTTCATTTAGAAAGAAATAATCAGAGGGTCTGAACTGGCTAGCAGGCCAGACTTTGCTCTGTGAGTGGAGGAAAAGGCCATGTGGGGGTCTTGTCTGCCTGAGTGCTCTCCTTTCGTCCCTCACCCTCCTCCTCCCACCAGGATTCTGCGTATCCAGAAAGAAACCCCAACACTGCAGCGGAAGGAGCCCCCGCCCTCCGTTCTGGAGGCCGACCTGACGGAGGGCGACCTGGCCAACTCCCATCTGCCCTCCGAGGTGCTCTACATGCTCAAGAACGTGCGGTCAGTGCTGGGAGCCCGGGCAGTAAGGGGGTGCCCCGAGGAGCCTGGGGCTGCCCTGATCCTGCGCCTCTCTGCCCCACTGCCCCTCCCCAGGGTGCTCGGCCACTTTGAGAAGCCGCTCTTCCTGGAGCTGTGTCGGCACATGGTCTTCCAGCGGCTCAGCCAGGGCGACTATGTCTTCCGCCCCGGCCAGCCGGACGCCAGCATCTATGTGGTGCAGGACGGGCTGCTGGAGCTCTGCCTGCCAGGGCCTGTGAGTGGGCTGAGGGGAGCTGGGCCCTGGGGAGGTCCTGGGTCACGCACTGCTGCAGGCCTGGGGGGCGTGGTAGTCTTCCTGGCTGCGTAGTCTGCAGTCAGGGCAGTGAGGGACTCTTCCGGGTGGTCTCCGGACGGTTACAGTGAGGTCCAAGGAACAGGTGCTGGCTAGGAGGTGTGGCGGGTCCAGGGAGGGGCCCAGAGAGCATTCTGGTGCGTGAGGAGGGGGGCCAGCCATGGTTGGGGCGGGGTGCAGGTCACCAGGGAGAGGCCGACCCTGGTCCGTGGCCCTTCCTGTCTCAGGACGGGAAGGAGTGTGTCGTGAAGGAAGTGGTCCCCGGGGACAGTGTCAACAGCCTGCTGAGCATCCTGGATGTCATCACAGTAAGCGTCCGGGGCACGGGGCGGGACGCTGGGGTTGGAGGGTG